TACAAACGCTTCGAAACATTCTTTGATTAGTCAATTCGTAAAATTCTTTGTTCTGATTGGTCGCTCAAACGCTTCGAAGCGTTTGTAGCGTCAAGTGGACCGCAGCCCATAACGACAGTCGCGCAGATATTTTATATGGTAAAAAAGCTGTGCAACTGTCGTTATGAACGATACGACTGCATAACGAATTACAGAATTCCACTACTGGGGAGGCGACTATCGCACGGTAACCAAATATGACTTAAATCTGTTGATGGTGTATGTACAAGAGCTCTCGTATCTTACCGAGTGTAAAGGCAATCACACGTACAAAAATTTTAGTCGTAATCGTAAGACTGTAAGCAAATCGACCAATCATAATCGAGCGTTTTAAAACGCGAGATCGTAATTTTGATTGTAATTGGTCGATTTGCTTGCGATCTTACGATTACGACTAAAATTTTTGTACGTGTGATGGCCTTAATACCCGCGAGAGTAACTTCTCCGCTAGTCGGAGCGAAAATATAGGAATACACAATACAATTATACGAATTAATTCGACGTGACACAACAAGAGTGACTCGACGTGGTAAGAGAGACGAGCGCGAATCGACAGCTAATATTTTTCTCAACGCGGAAAGCTATCAGGCGGATGGCACGTGGCTCGTAATTCTACGGATTCGAACGGCGGCCATTAAACCGGCCGCTCGCGGTCACGCGGTATCTCACGCACGATCCATCCGACGCTACGAATCCGATGATCGGCAGCTTTACAGCGGTGGCAACGTTCGTCTCACCCAATTCCCTGACGTTCTCTCAATTCCTCGATCCGCTCCTTTGGATCTGCTCAAATCCCGATATTCCTCGTTAGTGACGGGAGAGCGTGCGTCCTCTTACAAGCGGCTCGGCCACAGAACGAGTGTCGGCCGGGGGTTTACCGCGGATTCACGCAGGTCGTTCGCCCCTCCCCCTCTCCCTCAACCGAGGCCAGGCCACGCGCCGATTGGCCTTGTCAATCATATGACTCCGCGTATCACATAGGTTCTCAGGCCGGAATCAGACTACGCATTGAATATTGGCTGCGTTCAGCAGACTCAACAGTTTTGCAACCGTTTTATGATTGTCTACTGAGATAGGATCATTCTTCTAGATCTAAAAGTATGATCCAATTAGCGCGAAGGAAACTTCCAACAGTTGCAAAACAAACGTTCTGCTGAACGCAGCCATTGAGATTGAAGATTGAAAGATTGAAATTTGACCAATCAAAACAATAGGAGCTAAAATTCCTTTGTCTCACTGGTCAAATTTTAATCTTCAATCTTCAATCTCAATATTCAATGCATAGTCTGATTCCGGCCTCACGGGCCGCGAATTCTTTGCGCCTCAAGGCGCGCAATATAAAATCCGCCTGGGCTCCAACGTCGCTCTCGGCCCCCTGGATGGCTCGGGAGGTTCTGGTAACTTCGCTATTGGCTCCGTGTCGAGGTGTCTGTATCTCCGACGGGCGTCCATATCTGCTACTTGGCGTGCCGGTAGTTTTTGCCTTTCTTGTTCCGTGCTGTAAGTGGCATGCGATATAACAGAGCTCAGCGCATTATAAAAATATTTAGAACGTTACGACCTGCGTGTCCGGGTTCCTCGGTGAGGCGACCCCAACTCAGCGTTGTTCCCTCGTACTTCTTGGCGTGGTGGTCTTCCTTCTTCCATGGATGAGACGACGAAATTACAGAGAGATCCTAGGTTTTAGCCACCGATCATGGTCTACTAATTACAATCGAGCTAAATGCGAGACTAACTGACTAACAAAAATTAAGTTTGCACAAAAGAAATAAAAAGAAGTTAAACAATTCTACCGAAAGTTAAAATCAAAAAGCATTATTACAGAAAATGATATAACTATTCAATGGAATATTGATGGCGTGCAATTATTCAATTCTTCCTCCTTTTGAGGATTTTAATCATATTTTGCAGAACTTATTTAATGGTACTCAATATATACCCGATAAAATTTGTAAATTTTATGCTCATCTTAATTATATAAAACAAAGTACAGTTTTCGATCGGCAAAATTGTAGCGGGAAAGGAAAAGCTGTATTTGATACTATCGTGAATGAATGTAAAATTAAAAAATGTATCGAATATCTTGATACCTTAAGAGCGTTCGGATCCTGTCGTGAGAATTATCTGCAACTGAAAATTGCAATCTAGAATTTTTGTTTGGAGAACGTATTAAAAATATCGTCTTAACTTTCGAACAGTTTATTTATAAGAAAATTTTATATCACGGTGCAAATTATTTGAGGTTAGAAAAAAGATTCAATAGAACAATTATTACCAAACAAAAATCGATATTGGAAACATTATACTTGTGCACTGTAGAAACAGATATAAAACGTAATGCTTTAGTTTATAAAAAATTGCGAATAATTCACAATGAAGAATTAGTTAAAAACGATAACATTTCATCGCAACATTTTTCTTACATCGTAGAAAAATCTAATAATATTATATGTTGCCGACTCGACGATACAGAAAATAAGTATATAAGTATTAAATTAGAAAACACGGATAACAAACTATGTGTTATACTACTTGTCAGCTGTATTGAAACGGATTAATAAAGAAATGTAAACATAAATATTTCAAAAGTAATATTTATTCCACCAATAGTATTCTATGTAAATTGCAAAAAATTTAAAATATTAAAAAATTCAACTATCTTTGTCAACTGTTAAAACATGTAAGTATATAATGCAGTAAAAAGATTTGAATCTGGATATAAACTGAAAAATATAAAAAAATTTAAATTTTAAAATATCCAAAATAAAGTACCTTTTCTGTGTATTTAAAAAAAAATCATTATGCTTTTGTATAAACCGTTAAAACATTACTGCCTTTAAGAATAATATTTAAAAAGTTTTTGAAAAATAAATTATCGAATTTCTTTTTAGATTCTGGACAAAAAGAAATTTCTTCATTTTATTATTAGAAAGAATTATTAGAAAGAATTTAGCTTCATATAAAAAATAATTGAAAAGAATAAAAATTGTATAATTTAAAAAAAGGTTGCATTATTGGTTTTCTTACTTCATGACGAGAATATATGTACATGATAATAATCTATAAATAATACGCTTTAATTTATTCAAAATTTTAAATTCTGGGCAAAGAGCAAAAAATCAATTTGGAAAACTATTTTAAAAATTTATATTGTAGAAAATTGTTTTAATTTTTATTTCATTTTAAAACTATTCAATAAAATTAACAGTTACTAAGTTTTTAATAACTGTTAATTTTATTGAATAGTTTTAAAATAAAAACCTCCCCTCGGGAGGACCCAGGACACAAATGTCGCGCTGCTTCGGTCGGGTCGAACAAACCTTGTAACGGACAATGAAAACGTCGCGTCACAATATATATATATATATATAGTAAATACATCTTAAATGTATTCTGCATGCTGATCGACGCGGTGCAGTATATAATATAATCTCTCTATTATAGTAATTTGCCCATTGTAATTTTTGTATTACAATAATTACATGCCACTATGTATGTATGATCCACTCTGCAGCATTATTATCAACGTGTAATCCTTCTACTACAAAAATTTGCCGATTGTAGTATTTGTATTATAGGAATTACACGCATGTGCCTCCGTTGTGTAGTAATTTCGCACGGGATTACAGTAATAGGGATTACAATACAGATTACAATACCTGGCCAGTGATTCTTTTCCGTAAGGGATAGTATTTCAAAATTCACATATATATATGAAACATTATATAAAAAAAATGTAGACTTTCTCGGCATTTCTATTTCTATATATAGTATATATATATAGTGTTCCAATTTTTATAAAAAATCTGAGAAAATTTTTTAGAAAAAATTGTAAAATTAAACAAATTAAAAAAAATTTTGAAATTTACATAAAAATTCTGAAAAATTATGTAAAAAGTTCAGAGAAAAATTTTTATCAGGAACGTCACTATAAAAAGGAGCTCATTTTTTTCTCTGAATGTGTATGTGCTCTTGTGCGTGCGTGCGTGCGTGCGTGGTGCGTGCGTGTGTGTGTGTGTGTGTGTGTGTACGCACGCGCGCGCGCGCGCATGTGTACCTTAGCAGATGTATATGCATATGGCTGCGTTCAAAAACTTCACCCGAGTGCCTAAGTGTGTCATGTTTTACCTTTAATGGATAACAACATCCTTGTTTTACATTTAATGAATAATAAAGTTAGATAAGGCTCCCTGGTGAATTTTTCGAATTCACAAGGGAAAACTCAGAATGTATTTTAC